TGAACTGCCTGTGTAGAAACCATATAAGTTCAATTTTCTGAGCGCTCTTCACTAATTGTGGAACTTTCTGTCAACTGACAACATGTAAAATTTGCAAGTATGTTAAAACATTTCTGTACGTAAACTTTATATTTTATTTAGGCTGTAAGCAGCTGAACTGATGAGAAGGCAACGAAATAAATGATGGTATCATATTATTCTGCACAAACCACACTGTTGTTTTTGCTTTATTCAAATACACTAATCATAGTGTTGATAATTTTCGCCTTGGAAGAAATTAAGTTTAATTGACCATTGAAGTATACACCAAATAGGTTCGTTATCTGACTTATCAGTTAAAAGATGACTTTCTACCAGTTCTTCTATGGCTTTATACCTTGAATCCACACAGTAGTTTTGGTACAACTACGGAATTTTCAGCATGTGATATCGGTAACCAAATATAGTAGACAGACCATTGATATCAAGGGGGTGCGTCGGCCGAGGATCGAACCCCGGACCATGTGCATGGTCAGAGAGCGTCCTAGCCGCTGTGCCATCGATGCATCTATCATACTACTGCACGCAAGCACGTACACGTCGTTGTCAATTCAAGTATCCGGCTGTCGACCGAAAGGCGTGTGTACTGTACTTCTCAGCCAACAGTTCGTTGTGTCCTCCTTTATGGCTGTCTGTGAGTGAAACAGGGCTATTGAAAGTGGAAGATACGAAAAGCCTGACTAGCTGGCTGTCTTTGATCATAGATGTTTGCATCCTATCTCCTGTCTTAGGTGACAGAGGTAATAGGGTGAGTAATATTGAGATTAGGCATCGGTAGAGTGCTGTATTTTGTCAGCGTCTTCACCTAGATGGGAAGACTATATGATTTGCATATTCTAAGTTAACGAGATTATTCTCTGGTGGTAACAGGTCAATCCTTGAGTCGCTGAAGTAAGTTAGCAATTCCATATTAGTTTGTTTATTAGATGTATCACACAGTGAACAGTATTATTTACTGAATACTGACGTTTCGAAAAAAATTACTGTTCATAATCATATCAATTATATGACATCATCCAGTATGTAATAATACTGTTTCACTGTGTGATACATCTAATAAACAAACTAATATAGAATTACATACTACCATCACAGTGCCCAAGTTTTACACATATATTAATATGAAGTGAGTTAGGGTTAATTCCATTAGTACATCTATTATGAAATTAAACAGAGATAGGGACAATGGGCATCCCTGGCGGACACCACTAGTTGTCACCACTTCAGATGACAACTCTCCGTAGGTTCTCATCTGACTGCATGAGATCGAGTAGAGTGCCTTGATCAGTCCAATGCATTTTATCGGCATTCACTTCACTGCCAAGCATCGCCAGAGTACCTCTAGGTCGACAGAATCGAATGCGGCCTTCAGGTCAAGAAATAGGACAATTGTTGAATGCTGGTAAGTATGCCTATACTCCAGAATCTGTCGAAGGATGAAGATATGATCAATGCACCCTCTTCCTGGTATGAAGCCAACCTGGTTCTCTCGTGTTCGTGTCTCCCGAGCATCACTTAGTCTAGATACGATATTAGTCAAGCTGATCCCTCTGTGATTATCACAGGAAGATTTGTCTCTCTCCGACATACACTTGTGTGCGTTGGTGGCACAACGGTTAGCACTCTCGCCGACCATGCACATGGTTCGGGGTTCGACCCCCTGCTGACGCACATCCGATATCAATGGTCGGCCTGGGAAATTTGGGCTACCGTTATCACATGCTGAAAATTCCTTACTTGTACCGAAAATCCGGTGTGAAGTCAAGCTATAATCAGACATAAATAAAAAAAGAATAATCAATGACTTACACCAGCAACCTGACGGGGATATCTCTGATTCCCAAAAGCTGCCTAATACTCTAGTTAATCCACAGAGTAAACTGTCTCCACCATCCTTGAACACCTCTGGAGTCATTCCTTCAGGTCCTTCTACTTTCCTTCTTTTTATACAATAGTGACAGCTTTTGTAACCTCATTTAGGGATGGAGGACCAGTGTTCACATCCCATTCAAGGAGGTGTTGAATGCTGAATGGGATATAGACATCGGTCTTGATAAATAAATAAATATCATTCTCATGGTTAACTGTTCTTGATATATGTATAAAACTTGTGCACTGTGGTGGTAGAGTGTAACTCCATTATGGATAAGATTTTAATCCGACAAATCACACAGTGTTCGTTGTACAGTAATATTAACTGATGACAATGTTTCAAGCACAAACTATTGTTACTCATAATCATATCAAGGTACTCACACAACTTTTTTCCTTCATTTATATACATGTGTGGAATTGATGATTATACATTTGAATAAAAATCAATATAGGATAAGGTACATTCAGAAATAATAATAATAATATGAGTGGTATTCATCAAATACAATCAGATGGGGAATAAGACGCGTAATTCCATATTAGTTTGATTATTAAATGTATCACACAGTGAAACAGTATTAGTATTAACCGGATGACGTTTCGAACACATTTTATTGTTCATAATCATATCAATTTTTGTCACACAACTTCGAGATTTGATTTTTATAGTTTTTTCTCTGTCTTCTCCTATTTGTTGTATGGGCAGTAGAATTTTCCATATATCTGGGACAGGTATTGAATCATTCCTATTACATGTATTTGTAGTTGATTCAATAAACAAAGCTTCTGTTATCAATCTCTCCCTCCACCCTGTGACATTAGATTTTAAAACTGTCATCCTATCTCATCCTATTGTATGGTTGTGTGTAACTGCATGTATTGCTATAGCTGAACTATTCTCTAGATTTCTTATCTTATTTAGGTCAACCAATCTAGATTTAGCTAGGTTTTTATGTTCGGCTAGTCTGACTGCCCCTGTTCCACTAGTTTGACCTATGTATTTGACCTCACAATCATTGCAGGGTATTAGATAAACTAAATTGTTTTGTTTTAATGGCTCTACAGGGTCCTTTAACCGACAAAGCTTGTTTCTAATTGAGTTTGTGGGTTTGAATGCCACTTTTATTCCTGCCTTGTTAAGAATTCTGCGTAAGGCTTCCGAGGTTCCTTCTTTGTATGGAATTATTGTTGATGATTTACATTCCTTATTGTTGGTGTCGTTATAAATATTATTATTAATATTATCATTACTATTATTATTACCATTATTATCATTATTATTCAAGTGTTGGTTTGTAGGGATTTGATTGATTTCAGGATTTCATCATGAGCTGACATTAGTTAGAGAACCATTGGAAAACCTGGGAGTACTGGACAGCTGTTTCGTCCTAGTTTGGGACTCTTTATCAGTACGCACCCACCGGGATTCGAACCCAGGACCTTCCGGTTACAAGGCGAGCTCGTATACCATTAAGCCACTGGGACCCGATCCAACGGTCCTTGAATTCTAACTTCTGCCAATTCACGACATAGCCTTGTAACCGGAAGGTCCTGGGTTCGAATCCCGGTGGGTGCGTACTGCTGAAGAGTCCCAAACTAGGACGAAACAGCTGTCCAGTACTCCCAGGTTTTCCGGTGGTTCTCTAACTAATGTCAGCTCATGATGAAATCCTGAAATTATTATTATTGTTATTATTATTATTATTGTTATCATTATTATTATCACTACCTCTGTTATCATTATTTATTTTATTTTTACATTTACTTACATATTTCTTGACTAATTTATCCGGGTAATTATTAAGTTTCAAGGCTTCTTTTATGTGTGTCACTTCCTGTCTTAGATTTTCCTTGGTACTACTTAGTTTTTGTGCTCTGTCATTTAAACATTTCACTAATCCTATTTTTACTGACATAGGATGGGATGATCGGAAGTCCAAATATCTGTTTGAATGTGTGGGTTTTCTGTAAACACTAGTGTTAACTGCAAATACATGTAATAGGAATGATTCAACACCTGTCCCAGATATATGGAAAATTCTACTGCCCATACAACAAATAGGAGAAGACAGAGAAAAAACTATAAAAATCAAATCTCGAAGTTGTGTGACAAAAATTGATATGATTATGAACAATAAATTGTGTTCGAAACGTCATCCGGTTAATACTAATACTGTTTCACTGTGTGATACATTTAATAATCAAACTAATATGGAATTACTTAATACCACAGTGCCCAAGTTTTACACATATATTAAATAAGACGCGTGTTTTTATTGTCAAAATAAATAAGTAACTTGTTAGAATGTTATGATGTATGTGAATTGAAATAGAATTTGAAGATTACATATTATCCTCCTCTGATTTGACTGACTGGTGGTAATAATATCTTCCATATCTCTGGTATTTGCATTGAGTCACTTCTTTTGCATATGTTATGCGTAAACTCAATGAACCAGGATTTAATAATCAATCTTTCTCTCCATCTTTTCATATTACTTCTTAAAATTTTAACTCTGTCCCATTGTACTGTGTGGCTGTTGAGTGTTTCCCCAAAATAACTGATCTTCGCGAGTGGTGTCAACCATTCTCACCTAAGCTAAATTCTTAATTTTCCAACAATCTGATTACCCCCACCCGATCTACTAGTTTGACCTAAATAGTTGACCTCATAGTCATTGCAAGGTATTTTATAAATTATATTATTTTGTCTAATTAGGTCAACCGACAGGGTCCTTTAGCCTACAGAGCTTGTCCCTGTCTGAGTGAGTTTGTAGGTTTGAATGCCATCAGTCTAATTCCTGCTTTATTGAGAATCCTACCTGGGGAGGGTCTCAAATGTCCCCTCCTTATATGGTATAACAGTGGATGACTTATATTCTCTCTAGTCTATTCCAAACATGTATATAAATGAAGCAAGAAAGCTGTATGAGTGACTTGACGTTATTATGAATGGCAGTAGTTTGTGCATCGGTTAATATTCCTGTCCAACAAACACTGTGTGACACTTTATCAAAATAAAATCTTATCCATAGTGGAGTTAACTATTCTTCTTTTTTCCTGATCTGTTTTTTTTGTTTCTATAGGGTGCTGAAACTCCATCCTCATTTCTACATGTCGAAGAACTATGTAAGTCCATTGAATTCCTTGTGGTGCTTACTCATATTCCTTAATCTCTCTTCCAATCTATCTTTTAGCTGATCCAGATAAAGCTTACAGAATATTTTTAAAAAATCATACCTGTTATGATTTAATTCCATTGAGTGCTAAACTTGTGGTTTTTGATGTCACCTTAAATGTAAGTGCTTATTATTATGATTATTATTATTATTGCTGTTGTTATTCCTTTGGGTTCCGAGTGGAACATCGGGGCTTCAACAGTACATCTGTATTTCAATTTTGTTCTCTATAGTTCCTTTTTTGTTTATCGGGTTCCACGATTATCCAAAAAGGTCGTCATCTTCTCGATGTTATCCTCAGATCTACGCTCAACTTGTTCTTTTCTTATTCGTGTTCCACTTAACCGACGGACTGGTGTTTGATGTCACTTAGTGTGGTCATCTCTGCGCGTTTGTGTGTGTGTGTGTATGTGTGTCTAATCCATCCCCATTTTCCTCGGCATATTTGTCAGACGGAAGATCCTCGGTTGGGTTCGTTGCATTGCCTTGCGTTCCTTGTCGTTTATCCCTTTCTAGCTAACCAAATGATTTTCCGGGAAAGCAAGACAAGCCTTCATTACTCTAAAGTCTGTTTGTGGAAGTCAACAGCACTCAGCATGAAAATGAAAATAAGAACCGGATTTTCAACTCCAATGTGAAGTCAGTGCTACTTACTATACGGATCAAAGACTTGGCGCGTCATAAAGAGCACCTCAAACAAACTACAGACCTTCATCAACAGCTGTCTTCTCTCAGTACTACTCATGATCAGATGGTCGGCCAGAAAAGATCATCAACAGGGAGGGATCTCTGTCAATGAGCGAACCAACCCAGTGGGAACCGATTGTGAAACAAATATGCAGGAAGAAATGGAGTTAGGTGGATTGACCATACTCTTAGGAAACCATCAAGTGACATTACATGCCAGGCCATCGCACGAGGAGAACCCGGCCGAAAGGGAAGCGGCGAGTTGGTTGTCAGTGCGAGGGTGATATGGAAGAGGTGGTGTGAAGAGGAAGTGATGAAAGCATACGGGCAGACTTGGACCCAGGTGAAAACTGTAGCAGAGAACGGAACGCAATGGAGACGTGCAGCTGAAGCCCTGTGTTCCTCTAGGAACTAAAGGAAATAATAATACTAAATGATTTTCAATATCCAACCAAAGAAAGCACAGATGTTGATGAAAGTCTGCAGTACAGTAGCCTCTTGGAAAAGCTTTTGCTGACACGCAGCGCTAAATGCCCCTAAACCATATTAATATATGTGTGTAACTTGGGTACTGTGGTAGTTTTTAAATTGTCAGTTTATATACACGTATACCAATAAATGTGGCTATAGAGGCAGTCAGAAACGAACTCATTTCTGACCAAGAACTCGAACTATGCATCGGTGGCACAGTGGTTAAGACTGTCGCCGACCATGTACATGGTCAGGGGTTCGATCCCCTGCCGACGCAAACCTTGTATCTATGGTCGGCCTGCAAAATTTGGGCTACCGATATGACATGCTGAGAATTCCATACTTGTACCCAAAATACAGTGTGGAATCAATGTGAAATAAAAAAAAGTGAAACTTGAGGACATAATTCTGGGAGTGCAGCTATGCTTGACTTCCACACTATTTAAATTCCAAGGGAAAATGTACAAACAAACTGAAGGAGTTGCCATGAGATCACCAATATCCCCGGTTGTAGCATATATATTCATGGATAGATTGGAAAACATAGCGATGGAAACGTTCACCCCCACCCCAAAAGTGTGGTGGAGGTTTGTAGATGACACATTCACTGTACTTAGAACACAGGAATATAGGTAGATTTTTCGAACACATTAACTGAAAGGTGGAGAAAATCCAATTCACTTATGGGAAATTGGAAAGTCATGAAGAGGGAGCTTCCAATGTCAGATTGCACCATGAATACGAAAGAAGATGGAAATTTAAACACTAGTGTTTTCAAAAATCCCACACATTCAAACAGATATTTGGACTTCCAATCATCCCATCCTGGGTCAGTGAAAATAGGATTGGTGAAATGTTTGGATGACAGAGCACAAAAACTAAGTAGTACCAAGGAAAATCTAAGACAGGAAGTGAGGCATATAAGAGAGGCTTTGAAACTTAATAGTTACCCTGATAAATTAGTCAGGAAATATGTAAGGAAATGTACAAATAAAGTAACTAATGATAGTAGCGATAATGATAACAATGATATTAATGACGACACCAACAATAAGGAATCTAAATCATCAGTAGTAATTCCATACAAGGAAGGAACCTCGGAAACCTTACGCATATCAATTATAATCACACGAGTTCGAAACTTGAGTTTTACGGCCTTCTTTGTTCCTTCTTATTTGTCGTAGGGGTAGTAGAATTTTCCAGATATCCAACTGGACAGGTGTTAAATCATTCCTATTACACGTATTTGCAGTTAATTCGATAAACAAAGCTTCCGTTTACATAAATCTCTCTCTCCATCCTGTCACATTAGATTTTAAAACTGTCATCCTATCCCATAACCCTTTGTGTGGGTGTATAGTGTGTCATTACATGAAGTGAGTGCTATAGGTGCTGAACTATTTTCTAGATTCCTTATCTTATTTAGGTCAACCAATCTAGATTTTGCTAGGTTTTTATACTCGGCTAGTCTCATTGCCTAAACCATATTAGTGGAAGCACTGAATTGCAGGATGAATGTTGAAGATCTTCTTCATTTTGTTGCTAACATTAAGTCTAGTAGACTTCTACACACTGCCTCCAAATTAGTGAAGGCCTGACTTGCTTTTCTTATACTAACGGGTTTTGACTTCCTCAACTGTGTGCTCTCCTGCTTAATAATAAATGACAGGTCAACATTATAATTCATACACGTCCGACAGGGATGTCCACTCTCCCCATTTCTGTTTAACTTCATCATAGATATGCTGATTGAAGTATCCTTAACTGAACGTAATGACTTAGGAATCGACTTGTTACCAGGGAATAGTCTTATGGACCTAAAATATGCAGATGACATAGTCTTGTTAGGGGAGGATGCTGACAAAATGCAGAGTCTTCTGAACACCTTGAGCAACAATCTTCGTATGTTTGGCATGCGATTCGCCCCTGCAAAATGTAAGATGCTGCTACAGGACTGAACTACATCAACTCCTAGCTTAGTGATAGGGAGTGAAGTGATAGAACATGTTGACCACTTCACCTATTTGGGAAGTAGTATCAGCACCAACGGACTGATTGGCGACGAAATCTCAGCACGGATCCAAAAAGCTCGAGCTGCTTTCGCTGACTTACACCATGTCTGGCGTAGGCGTGACATCCGGCTGGCTATCAACCAAGGGACGTGTGTACTGCTCAGCAGTTCGCTCCGTCCTTGTCTATGGCTCTGAAACATGGCCAATACGAGTTGAAGATATGAAAAGGTTGACTGCTTTCGATCATAGATGTCTGCGATCTCTTTCTCACGTTAGGTGGTTTAATAAGGTAAGTAATGTTGACGCTAGGCGTAGAGTGTTGGGCAAACAGGGAAAATCAATCGACGAGGCTATAAAGTTACATAGACTAAGATGGCTAGGTCACGTGCTGCGCATGCCTAACCACCGCCTCCCCCGACGGGCCTTGCTAGCTGATATAGGTGCAGGTTGGAAAAGAGTAAATGGTGGCCAAACAAAAGTATGGCCTCATCAATCCATGAAATCCTTGACAGTTAAACTGAGTCAGGTAGGGAGGGAGATGAAGACTTCCGGGTTGAGGCCCTCGGGACTCTAGGAATCAATGGCTGGAGACAATAGGTGACATGGCTCAAAATCGTTGTCAATGGCCAGCGCAGATGTATTCAGTCTCTGTAATCTTTCATATTCCTTTCTACCATTACCCATTCTGTTTCACTCTTATACTTGTCAGACTGTATTGATTCTCTTCACTCATCTTGTTGTCTACCTCTATGTGCTATTTGGAACGTGGCAACTGGAACTGGTGCACTTCGGTGCGAAGTTCTATGTTGAATCCAGACAGACACGTCCACACTGACTCAGACACACTCACGCATTCATTCACATATGAAACGATAGAAGACGAAAGACTTTGTAAAGGAAATAAGTATCTTTATATAGCCAAATTTTTTAATGTATTTATGCGTTGAAGTTTCTGTAGCAATTTGGTGGACTTGATTATACGTCCGACAGTTGGAAAACGGGAAGACAGGAATATCCTGGACCGACATGAAGAGCTTAGAGGACCTGGATTTTCTGCGTGGATGATTTATGCTTGTGATGTCAAAGTCACAAAGTCGAAGAATTACAAGCGAAAATCGACAAACTGGTCGAAGAAGCAGCCGGCGAAGATAGGACTCCAAGTAAGCATAGACAAGACGCGTAGGTTATGAAAATAACCAACCAACCAACAACAACAACAACAGCAGCAATATCCAGCGGCAATCACCATCAATGGGAGGGATTTGAAAGAGGTTACTTCATTTACCACTTATCTAGGGAGCATTGTCTCAACTACAGGCAGTCGGAACGGACAAGGATGTCAAATCGAGCGAGAATCGGGAAGCCAGGCGAGAAACACATTCATCAACCTGAAACCAATCTGGAAATCTTCCGCTGTCACTCAGCATGAACAACAACAAAATTCAGTCAGATTTTCAATACAAACACGTCAAGTCAGTCAGTTCTTCTATACGGATCAGAAACTTGACTTCTGAACACCTTGAGCAGCAATCTTCGTATGTTTGGCATGCGATTCGCCCCTGCAAAATGTAAGATGCTGCTACAGGACTGGACGACGTCAACCCCTAACTTAGTGATAGGGAGTGAAGTGATAGAACATGTTGACCACTTCACCTACTTGGGAAGTTGTATTAGCACCAACGGACTGATTGGCGATGAAATCTCAGCACGGATCCGAAAAGCTCGAGCTGCTTTCGCTGACTTACACCATCTCTGGCGTAGGCGTGACATCCGGTTATCAACCAAGGGACGTGTGTACTGCTCATCAGTTCGCTCCGTCCTTCTCTATGGCTCTGAAACATGGCCAATACGCGTTGAAGACATGAAAAGGTTGACTGCTTTCGATCATAGATGTCTGCGATCTCTGTCTCACGTTAGGTGGTTTAATAAGGTAAGTAATGTTGACGTTAGGCGTAGAGTGTTGGGCAAAGAGGGAAAATCAATCGACGAGGTTATAAAGTTACATAGACTAAGATGGCTAGGTCACGTGCTGCGCATGCCTAACCACCGCCTCCCCCGACGGGCATTGTTAGCTGATATAGGTTCAGGTTGGAAAAGAGCCAGTGGTGGCCAAACAAAAACGTGGCATCAATCCATGAAATCCTTGACAGTTAAACTGAGTCAGGTAGGGAGATGCAGACTCCCGGGTTGGGGCCCTCGGGACTCTAGGAATCAATGGCTGGAGACTATAGGTGACATGGCTCAAAATCGTTGTCAATGGCGCAGATGTATTCAATCTCTGTAATCTTTCATATTCCTCTCTACCATTACCCATTCTGTTTCACTCTTATACTTGTCAAACTCTATTGATTCTCTTTACTCATCTTCTTGTCTACCTCTGTGTGCTATTTGGAACGTGGCAACTCGAACTGCTGCACTTCGGTGCCAAGTTCTATGTTGAATCCAGACAGACAGACAGACAGAAACTTGACCAGCGGGCGGGTGGGTCACAAAGAATATTTCCACCAACAGCCTGTTGCAGACCTTTATCAACCAACAACTGTCTTCGCTGACTCTATACTGAAGATCAGATGGCCAGGCCGGAAAGAATCACCAACTATGGGAAGTAACAAAACAAGAACCAATCGCCAACCTACAAATATGCAGGAGAAAGTGGAGATGGATTGGACACTCGCTCGTTGAGGAGGCCACTGGGTGACATCGCGCGCGCGTCAGGCCATTGCTCGAGTGGAACTAGGCCGAAAGGGAAGTGGCGAGTGGGACGTTATTATAAGGGTGACATGGAGGAGATCGTGATAAGAGTTGAGGAATTGAAACAGTATGGACTAACATGGATGCAGGTGAAGAGTACAGCAGAAGGAAGACAGAAGCAAGTGGATACGTGCAGTTGAAACCCTATGTTCCACTTGGAAATCAAAGGAAAAAATAGATAAAAATTATGTACACACCTTATCTTCAACGCCGCACCATTTGCACAGAGCATCTTCCGTGTTGTGCCTGCTACTTCTGGTCTTCCTTCATCTAATGTGTGTGTGTTTCTTTGTGTCCCTTTCACGTCTTCTATGTATCTGTCTCCACAACGCTGTATCATCATTTACCTTCTCTGAAATTAAATCTATCTCAGCTATTTGATGTTTTTACTGATGTGAACATCTCTTCCTGTAGCTATACTACTGATAAATTTTATCAGTAGCACTCGTTACACTCATAAACTAATTTCATATTTTTATGTGATTTTGTTTGTTGTTGATTTTTATTACAGGTGAAAAAAGCATTTTTTGCTCTAGTTTATAATGGTGTACGTGTTGCTATCTTATGGGATTCAATTGAACAAAAACATATTGGCATGTTAACAATTACCGATTTCATCCGCATCTTACATCAGTATTATCGTTCACCAGATCAACCAATGACTGAGTTAGAAAAACATCAGATTAAAACATGGAGAGGTAAGTTAAGTAGCACTTGCTACTGTGATTTTTTCAATGAAGTTTTATCATGATTTGTGTATTTTCAGTTATATATATATATATATATATATATATATATATATATATATATATATATATATATATATATACTACGAATTGTTAAAAGGAGAAGTATGCGAATCACTGTTTCGCTCTGGTGTAGAACTCACAGATATAATGGTAGTGCAACAACAGAAGACAAAGGCCAGACAACAGATCGTTTATTCATAAAATAGATTTTTATGTACATTATTATTCGCTTTATTATTAGTAAAGAAACAACGTCTTCTGATTGGTTGTTTTCTCGCTAAAGAGTTATTCTGTCATCTCTTTTTGTGGCCGTTTCTTAAACAGTCCGGTGATATATATCTGCGAATCGCATCCGCTTACGCTAAGTGTGCTGTGATTGGTTGTTGAATTCCTCAAGGTTATTGTTATAAGTATAAAACTTGGGCGCTATAATTCCATATTAGTTTGTTTATTAGATGTACCATACAGTGAAACAGTATTATTATTATTTACTGGGTGACGTTTTAAACAAAATTTACTGTTCATAATCACTGCAACAATTCTAATCACATGACTTCAAAACTTGAGTTTTATAGTTTTCATTGTTCTCTTCTATTTGTCGTCATTGGGGTAGTAGTAGAATTTTCCAATTGTCTCGGTGGATAGGTGTTGAATTATTTCTATTACACAAATTTGCAGTTGATTCGATAAACAAAACTTCTGCTATCAATCTCTCCTTCCATTCAGCCTGTGACATTAGATTTCAAAACTGTCGTCTTATCCCACCCATCCATATTGCATGATTGTGTGTAACTGCATGTAATGCTATAGCTGGACTGTTCTTTAGATTTTTTATCTTGTTCGGGTTAACCAGTCTAGATTTTACTAGGTTTTTATGTTCTGCTAGTCTGATTGCTCCAGCTCTACTAGTTTGACCTATGTATATGACCTGACAATCATTGCTAGCAGGGACTTAGATAAACTAAATTGTTTTGTTTTAAAGTCTCCACAGGATCCTTTAACCGACAGTTAATATTACTGTACAACACTGTGGGATTTATCGAAATAAAGTCTTATCCATCTCTACCACAGTGCCCAAGTTTTATACTTATATCGATAATACATATTGTCTTCCTGCTAGGAAGCTCATCAACAGACTCATACGACTTTCTTCAAGGTTGGGCTTTGTTCTTGTTTTTTCTCATGACCCCGATTTGCGACGTAAACACTGACGTCAATTGTTGTCTTGCAGACAGCTCTCACCACACTAGGATCTTCTAACTACTAGGCCATTCCGTTGATCATTCAATAATCCGTGAATTAAAACTCTTGTCCATTCGTGATAAATTTGAATAAGGCATTTAGAAGACAAATTTCGCCGCGAGATGATATCGTCATTTCGTAGTTTCTTTACAACCGCTTTACAACTGACATGGTTAACAATGATAAAATAAAGTTCATGAAAATTACTCAGTTAAATAAAAACAAAAGTACATACTAATAACGAATCATATTAAGATAGGTCATGCAGTCCAGGGTAGGCGAAGATTGAAGTCTATTGTGCTGTTTTTGTACACACAGTTTAGGCTGTATGTGATTAATCCAAAGTGCTTCCATCACCTTCAATAACCTTGAATTAGAGTTATGTGAAATAATTGTGAAACAGTCATTAATATTGATTTTGTGACCAGACATTAATAAGTGTTTTGCAATGGATGATGCTGGATTTCTATTAAGATTAATCGCGTTAGGATTTTCGGTATGATTTAGTAGCCATTTTAGAACATGTTCTTTTCGACGACATTGGAACATTCTGTTAGTTCTACCTATATAGGTGTCACCGAAGCTGCAGGTGAACTTGTAGATACAGTTTGAAGTAGTGTCCAGAGAATTTCGTCCTTCAATCGTAGGTACAGGGATCGAAAATGTTCGGGAAGTGAGAAAAAGAGATGAGGTGGCGTAGAATGTGCGTTTGATGGCTGACCGAAGTCTTTGAGTTATCTGTCAACTGCAAATCTGGTCACCCTTGAACGGTAGGTTAATAAAGATAGATAGCTTTCTTTGGTACAGAAGCTATCTTTTCGAGATGTGGTCTTTCTTTACTGTAACAAGTGATAAAGTTTTCTAAATGCCTTATTCAAATTTATCAAAGGGACTAATTATTTTAATTTGTGATGTGTCACATTTACTGACCAAATGACACTGATGAGCATCAACACCAAGCTTGATATGGCATATTGACCCTGGGTCACTGAATCCCATTCTAGTGACTAAATGAGGGACGTTTTAAGCTCGTATTCTTTCTTTTCACAGTGCTAAAGAGTCGTGCATGCTATGACGAATACCTGCTCAGTACCCCCCCCCCGCCTTAGTTTTAAGTGATTCTGACATTGGCTTCAAGATTGATTACAGGTTGACAATTAGTTATAGAGTCATTGGAAAACCAGGGTGTACTGGACACCTAGTTCGTCCTAGAATGGTCTACGAGGTTACCTTGTAATCGGAATGTCCTAGCGTCGAAACCTAGTGACTGCGTCCTGCCGATGATTCCCAAACTAGGACAAAACGGATGCCCAACACTCCCTGCTTGTTTTTTGAATGGTTCTCTAACTCATACAATTAAATATGAATAGAAAATCAAAACAAGTGATTATTTAGCGAAGAGACTCTTTTCAACAACGAATTTATCATCAAGCTGTACAATCGTATATATATACATATGGTTTTTAAGAAGTTATATCCGGTGAGGGAATTGAATCTTAGGTGTGAATGCATAAAATAATAATAATAATCATATGAAGTTCAATTAAAACTAAAATACAATTAACTCAAATTGTTTTAATTGTGCCAACATGTTGGATTATTAACCTTCAGTTTTTAGACAAGATGCTTCCGGTGACCTTGAACATTGACAATAGTAATTTATTGTTATGATATATGCGGTGACTTGATTTGACTACTAGTCTGACCTTGGACTTAAACGGGTCACACAATAATAATAGCGAGTGATTTTAGACACTGCATAATTGCTGATATCGGTAGGAATAAAGAGGCATACACATTCACACACGCACACTCATACACACCCTATCTTATCTTCGTCTTGTTGTTGACATCACCTTTTTTGTCTCTGGTCGGCTCTGTCAGTCTGTCTGAGTCAAAGGTGGGTAGAGTAAAATGTGTTTCATTTTGTATTAGTTAGCCACAAGAGCGTATGATATTGTCCTGTCTGGTTAGTTTTTAGCTAAGTCAAGTTTACAGTGTGATTATGAAGTGGTAGGTGAATCGTCTGTCGTTGTGTTGATCTCTTTCAATTGCCTAGCAGTTACATCTCTGACTTTAGCCATCGGATGGTAGGCTGTTCGAATCTCTCTGTGTGTGGACATCATGGCTTTCTAGATAACCTTAGATATGACTTACTGGCTAGTGTCAGTAAGTACGAAACCCTGATGACTGCCTCCAATCAGCTCTCATCAGTTCGAAATTAACACTATTAATATTATCTTCTCTTTTTTTCATTCTCTCACGTTCCCAGTGGAACATAGGGCACCTTTAAGCTAGAAACTTGAAGTTTCTGTAGTGGTTAGTGGCGATTATTTTTACAGGATGCGGTTGCTCCTAGCCTCATGCTCAGCCCAACCTTTCCTCTTTACCAGCTTTATTATTGACTTAGCAAGGTAAAGGAGTGTGTTTGTGACCGGGGATCGAATCCCGGGTGACATATGACGTGGTTGGTGACCATTCTACCTCTGTGCCACCGACGCACAATATTATCATCTAGTCAGTTGTTATAGCACAAATACTTAATTTAATTGGTGGATGGTGATTAGCAGTGGAATCCAGGATGCGGATTTCGTCCTATCAATCCACCAATTAACTAATTACATTCCCAGGCATTGTTAAGGCATCTGCACAAGAAGCCGACAGACATGTCAACCTGAGACCGAACACTTTGGTACAATCAATTGACTGGAAAATCCAAAATTCAATTAAATACTTAATTGATGATTGATTGGTGAACTGTGTGATTGTTTTCATTGGATATTGAATGTCTCTTTTGCATTTGCCAATCCATCAGATTTCTTTTCGAGTAATGTGAACTGACATAAAGATTCGATTGACAAAGAGTTGAAAGGATGGTAAAGTCAATATGCCTAGCATCAGTCAGTAGTAAAGTGTTTGATAGTAAGTTTTGAGGGGGGAGGTGGAGAGCACATTGCGTTCAGGACTTCGAGGGCTGTTAGGAACTGATGAATTTAGACTATTGGTGGTAGTATGATTCAAAATTCTTCTCAATGGTGCAGGTGATGAATTCACTCTCAATAATCTCTCAGATCTATTAAATCCCCTCTCATGTTATTCCACGAAATTATGATTTCTCCTCTACACATTTGAGGTCGTTATAACTCCCACATTAAAACTCAACCAGTAAGGAGATAACCTATTGATGTAAACGAGTCACTTATCGACGACAATCTGAAGAGTTCAGTGAATTCCTTAGAATTGATGCATCTTATTGTAGACTTGAAGATAGGATTACAGGTTAGTATAAAATAAGACAGCACAAGGAACAAGTCAGTCAGTGTTTCCATGTCGTTCAGAGAGTTGATGTGTGTGTGTGTGTGTGTGTGTCGCGAAAAGCATTTTCAACAGGCTACTACACACATTGAGGAGGCTGTCGAATAACATCGCGTGCAATGCAGGTCGTCACTCGAGGAGAATCCCAATGGGAAGCGACAAGTGGGTCGTCAGTGCTAGGGTGACATGGAGAAAGTCATGAGTGGAGGAGAGGAAGGAAAATCAGTCGACGAGGCTATAAAGTTACATAGACTAAGATGGCTAGGTCACGTGCTGCGCATGCCTAACCACCGCCTCCCCCGACGGGCTTTGCTAGCTGATATAGGTTCAGGTTGGAAAAGAGCCAGTGGTGGCCAAACAAAAACATGGCATCAATCCATGAAATCCTTGAC